CCCGAAAAGCGCTATATAAATGCAATCCATTATTATTATTATTCATTACTAAACAATTATTTTAACACAATTGCATCCTTACGTTTTATTCTTTGTTTGCAGCTTAAAGATGTGCAGTCAGTCCTGAGGTTGTCACTCAAGTTATACAACTTGCATTTTAATAAAGATGTTTTTTAAACACAAATATGCCTCCATATGTTTTGTTTTCATCTACCAATAGTTCTTCTGTATAAAAATTTCATCCATCTCAACCTGACTCTACCATCCTATTCTGTCACACTAACACTCTGCATGTCTTCTTTCACTACATCCATGAATCTTCTCTGGTCTTTCTTTTTTCCTTCTGTTTGACAGCTACATGTTCAACATCCTTTGTCCAGTATGTCCGCTATCCCTCCTCTTCCACCAACCTGTCTCTCATGTACACAGATATATTCTGTCTCCATTCTACTCACTTTCATTCCTCTTCTCTCCCGTGCATACTTCCACCTTTGCAGGCTCTCTTCCACCTGCTCCATACTCTCACTACAGATCATAACATCTTGAACCCATCTGTATGTTGATGGCTAAAGGACATATTTGTGGCTTTTGATAATGGCAGCACTGACAGAGTTGCAGAGAAGAGTATCTCACTGAAGAAATTAGTGTTGTAAGTTGAGAAACGTCTATTTTGTGAAATAATTCCTAGTATTGCATCTTTTAAACAGAAAATGTGATTAAATGTTATTATATGACAAATTACTGCATTTCCCTTTTTGTACTATTTATGTACTATTCAGCTTTACCATTGCTTTAAGGAATTTTCCCAAATATGTGCATGTATTTTAACTCTTTGGTTCTGTGTACACGGATAAATAGAAATCCAAAGTTTTCTGGGCTGTAGATCATTTTAAGAAATATGTATCACAAATTAAATATTTACGAATAATTTATAATAGTGTGCTGTTGTCTTTAAGCAAAAAAGTTGCATGAAAGTGTGAAACAAAAAATAGATTGGTTATTTTGAATTAAAATAGTTGCTTTGGTGACAATCAGACTGCAGGCTGCATATCACATTGGAAGTCTGTAATTACATTTATTTGTATTCATTTAATCTGAAAAAATAAAATCACGATCAGAGCGAGGCCACGGAAAGAGAAAGAGAGACAGGTGGATGTTCACAGCCCTGCAGCTCTGTAGTTAATGAAAAGAGCCAAGACTCAGGGTTTAAGACGCCACTTGGAGCTCTTCCTGAATTAATGAGGAAACTTATGATCAATAAAGTAATTAACTGCTGGTGCTAAGACTCTCCTCCTCCTCAAGGAAGAGGTCAGAGAGAGACCTTAAGTTTTCACCTGCCTGACTTTCACCTCCTGGAAAAAGCCCCTTTAATCTAATTCAATTCAATTCAATTTTATTTATATAGCGCCAAATCACAACAAAAGGCGCCTCAAGGCGGAGGTTAATAACAGATATGATTCAATGCAGAGAGGTCTATTAACACATAGTGAGTGAGAAAGGTGACTGGAAAGGAAAAACTCAATGCATCATGGGAATCCCCGGCAGCCTACGTCTATTGCAGCATAACTAAGGGAGGA